AGGCTGGTTTGGCCAGCCGAAATATAGTGCTCCGTTTTAAAATTTATCTTCGTTTTATCGGTCTTGCCTCTATATTCATATTCGTTATTTTGGGCCGATTAGATCACTGCTGATCCAACGTACAAGAGTAGGATTAACGTCCACGGTTGCTTGCTGAACATTTCACGGGAAAATAAGGCATTCGCACATTCTTTGAGTTTCCTCGTTACTCCCGACAGATCTGGGCGTGGTTTAATTGTCACTCGGTTTGTATTTGTAACTTTTTTAACTGGTTATTAATTCTTATTGCAGCTCAGAGGTGAAGCAGGTAAACGGCAGGTGGACGGAGCGACAGTTGCCTTGCAGCACAACTTTGGAATCGGAGGGGCTGCTGTGGTGACGATGTACAAAAAGTTCAAGCCTCAAGCAAGGGAACAGCTGCATGCCAAGTTATAACACTGTCTCACTTTCGACTGACGCGAGCGTTGAAACACAATAACCAAAAAGATCAAACAGAGCTTTTCAGACCATTATTTGTTGTCAAATGCTGAACACAATTAAGAATACCGAACTCAAATATAAAGTAATTTTTTTACCAAAAGATGAAAGAAATTGAACGAAACATGACTTAACTAAGCCACTTACGTATGTAGCATCTTAAACATGATCTTCTTTTAGTGAGGGCGGTTCTGTATATATCAGGGGTAGTCTCGTGCCCAGACCTTGGACGGTCGAGCATTTAATCAGTAGATTGTATATATCAGAGGAACATTGTTGGCCATCAAGGCAATTTGCGCTTAGTAAACACTTTCAAATGATTTTTCGTGATCTACAAAACCCAAGAATTTAACTTTTGTTTTCTGCCTCTCAACCGTTTGAGAAGTATTGTGACACTCTACGGTGGCTAATTTACGTTATCAACTCATTTGATAAAACCAAGTTATATACTCCCCCACTGACATAGCACCACAGTTTCTTTAGACACTAACCCCCTTTATTCAATATTGGAACGCGTTTTTGAAAAGCAGATATTTTTAAATTTTTGTCTCAATGGTGGACAAACAAAAAAACAAGAATGTTTTCCATTTTGGCTTAGGACTCACATTTATTTGTTTAAGAACATACATATTTCCATGTCCGTAATTTGTCCTCCTAGTATTCCCGGAATCTCTCTGGTAAAAACGTGCGCCATTAATTTTACACCTTTGTTTCACAGTTGGTCACGCTAATTTTTCACAATCAAGGTTGGAATAAGTTCAGGCATGAGACATTGATGAATTTGTGAATTGCTTTTTTCGCTAGTATAATCCTTATTAAGCGGACTTGGAGTAAAAATATTATTTACACATGTCAAAGAATTTTTACCGAAGACGTACCTGTTAATCAGTTTACCTTTTGAAATCGCAAAGCAAAGTGATTTTATAAACTGGCAAGTTTTTGTCCGAAAGGCCGTTTCGTAGATGCTGTATCAGAACCTCTGAGATTCAGCGAGCTTTTCCAAATATGTTGTCAATCAATCCGTCCTCGACGAGATCTCGAACGTGCCTTGGGGATTCTGACGTGTGAAATGTTTGACAGGAAAGGAAATTAATGTGCGTGCATCTGCCATCCTCTGCAGTCAGGCTTGTCACAAACTAAAGTATGTAAAAGCTAACGAAATTCAATTAAGTGAACGATCTGGTGAATTCTGGTTAAAGGCTTTTACCAATGACTGCTTTTTTGCCATAGCCACCTTTTTCAGTTCCTGTTTCACGTCTTTTTTCAAAATAGCGTATACTAAAGGATTCAAAGCCGAGTTTATAATAAAACAGATGTGAATAACTTTTTTCAAAGTCTCCGAAGCGACACACATTTTGAAGGTGAAACAAAAGCAACGATAGTTTCCTCCAAGGTGACAAAGAACGAAGAATAAAATAATTAAGAAGATCATTTTCATAGAAGCTTTCTTTTCTTTGATTCTCTTAACACTTTGTTGCGGCTCCTCACAAAAATTAAACTTGAGTTGGGCAAGTAGAAGTTTTTCTTGATGCGAAATGTTTATTGCTATCAGGAAAAGACGTCCTGTTATCAAAACAAACATTACGCTTGGCACAAGCTGAAAAATAAGTACTCTGAATGTTTCGAAAACAAACGTAAATAATTCGTTTCTTCCTGAATATGTGAAAATCGAGGGTAATGTGAACAGAAGTAACGGTGAAATCCATGCTAAAGCGATCGTAGACAATAGTCGTTTTTGTGTCATATAGGAAGCGTACGTCAACGGCTTCATAACTGTGGCAAATTTATCCGTTATCAGCGCGCATAAATTTACACATGAAGAATAGAGAAATGTATGGCTGATTTTGAACCATAGCCCTGTATGATCGGTGGATATTTCAGCGTCGAAATACGAAGTAAAAATTATCGGAAAGTAGCTTAATCCAAAGCAGAAATCGGCTAGTGCTAGAGAAAGAATGAACCAGTTCGTTGCAACGTGTAATCGAGGTCTTGTGATGATCAAATAAATTACAAGAACGTTTCCAAGAACAACAAATGCGGTAAAAAACCAACCAAAGATGAAAAACCACATCGCGACCTTCAAATAAAGCAAGCAGCTGATCTGCATAAAACTGTTCGTAGTTCAATTTCGCCCTCTACGCAAGACACTTCGGCGTACACTTAACGAACTGCAAACAAATCTGATAGACCCGGGGGGAAGTGCTTTCTATTCAGACTTCAACAGTTATTTGACACTAAGAGGTAAAGTGTCTTACACAGGCAAGCGAAAAAAACTGAAGTCGTGAGCTAGCCAAGCTGGAAGTGACAACAACAATTTTTTTCACGACGAGTCGAAGAGATATTTAAAAATTAGAAATGCAAACGAAGGCAAATCATGAAATTACTTTCAATCGAATTCAGTTGAGGCTCAAAATGTTAGTAAACCGAGTTTTTATAATTTTTGATTGCCTTATAATTTGTTTAGGCTACGGTTAAGTTCAGTGTTTAATCCATTCAGTTATCAGAAATTACCCTGAAAGAGCCCTAGAAGGCCAAAACATAAATAAATAAATAAATAAATAAAAAGAATAAAAATGTGCGTGCATCGGTTTGGATGCAGAGCCATTTCCAATCAATTTCGCTATTTCTCTGTACCCTCCAAACATGTGTCGGGATTAACTCATCAGAAAAGGGAAAAAATAAACGATGTCATGAAATTTTACTCGTTTAGCCCACTCTACGTATGCCTTTATTTTTGTTCTATACAATGATTTTACAATTTTTGCAATTGATATAATTCTTTCGATGAGTACAAACGCCGACTTAAGGCGCAATTTTTACCTAAAGGATGGTTGCTTAACAATAATTTTACATGACAGCCTCAGGATGCTCTATCTTGCATGCCCCATCACCTGACATAAAAAAAGCTGTTACTAAAATTACTGACAGGAACAGGTTTATTCTTCAAGCGGAACGATCGCTCTAAAATTACATCAAAGATCATTTGAACATTTTGTTCCATCCAGAATCTAACAGGAATGATAATAATGAGTTATTTACATCACAAAACGCGTGCAATTCTATTTAGTAATCGCAACACGTTTTTTTTTTTAACTTTTCCAAACCAACACACGCCTAATTAGCCAAACATTGACTGAAAGAACATCATCTTCTACAAACCTAAATACAGTATTCACTGGCTTTTCAAATGTTTAACACTTAATTTCGTTAGCTTTTCGCCAGGTATGCAAGATAGATAAATTTAATGATAATGTCTAAAAAATGTTAATTTCTCTCGAACACGCATATATTTTTATCAGCTCTCTTTTTATATCTCTCTTCAAGACGGCGTACACCAAAGGGTTTACGGCTGAGTTTGCAACAAAAGAGATGTGGATGATCCTTTTCAAACTGTCAGAAACGGTACAAGTTTTGAAGACGTAACAGAAACAGCGAAGATTTCCTCCAATGTGGCAAAGGACGAAAAACAGAATAATAAAGATAATCATATTTACAGAAGCCTTTTTTTCCTTGCATTTCTTTCTGGTCACATTTAGTTGCGGCTGAAAATTAAACCTGATCTGAGCCAAAAGAACCGATTCTTTCCGCGAAATGTCTCTGGCTATGAAACAGAGGCGGCAGATAACAAATATAAAAAGAATGCTTGGAATGAGCTGGAAGATCGAAACTCTTAACATTTCGAAGCCGAAAATGAACAATTCATTCCCGCTAGAATAGATGAAAACGCACGGTAGCGTAAAAAGGATCAGCGGTGTAATCCACGCCGAAGAGATCAGGTAAACCAGTCTTTTCTTTGTCATACGTAAGAGATACTTGAGAGGCGTCGTCACTCCTAAGTACCTATCTGCTGTCATGACGCAAAGATTCAAAGTCGAGGAATAGAGAAATGTATGGCTGATTTTGAACCAAAGTCCAGAGTGGTCGACGGATAGCTCTGACGGGAAGAAACTTGAAATGAAAAGAAGGGGAAAATAGCTTAATCCGACGCAGAGATCAGCCAGTGCGAGGGACACCACGAACCAGTTTGCCGTTACATGAAGTTGTGGTCTTGTAATAATCAAATAGATTACAAAAGCGTTTTCAAGAACACACAGGGCTGTGAATAACCAACCAACGATGAAAAACCACATTTCTATCACTTATTTCAGGTGCTGGTAAAGTCCGACATTGTATATTCGAGGCTCACTTGATCCGTGTGACAATGAACCACTGTTGACTAGTACTGCATCTCACAAAAAAAAACAAACAAACAAACTGTTTTGGTCGCTTATAAATTGAAGTCAGCCTCCCACGTTAAGGATTCAGGCACGATCAACTGAGCAGATCAGCACATTTCCCCTCAATTCAACTGTTTTCGCAATTTTTCAAATGCATGCAAATTGAATTTCTACAGATCTCATTTTCCTCACGCAAATTTCCTGAACCCAGCTGTTTCAGTTATAGAGTAATTATATAGCCAGGTGAAAATTTGTTCAAATTTTCATTATTTTTCATCAACTGAATTTGACACAGGGTTTTTCAAACACCGTCAGGCACTTCGATTTTATTTGGCGCCTGAGATGAGGCTCTTGGGCCGTCCAATGAGGTTTGAAAGAGGCCACCTTATTTTGTTCACAGAGAACGCAAAAATAAATCATTGTCATTTCCTCTTGTCACGGTTGTCAGGCAGTCGCATACAAATTTCAACATCTTAAAAGTGTGCGGGGTGAAAAATTTCCGGCTACATTTTGAAATTGACAACACTTCACCTAAGAAAAAGAAAAAAAAAGACTTCCAATATGTACTGTATAACTCCATGGAAATCGTGCGAGATTTCCAAGAAGGAATTAATTTTTTTTTCGAATTCTATTCAAATTAAAAAAAAAACCTACTGAAGTGAAAAAACGTCAAAAAATATTTTCATATATTCTAACCTGCTAAGCTATATGCATGAGACCTACATAGTATAGCGGTGATTGATAATTCTTGGCCATATGGATATTTCAATTATAATTGAGTTAATTAGAAGAAAAAGAGGTCGAAATGACACTTAATTTACTTGCCGAGTTTTTAATTTTCCCGTGCTTTTTTGGGGGGAATTTTTTCCACAGCTCACGGTCTGCCGAGGTTTTTTTCTTTTGATCCTATAGAGGATAGCTTCTCCGCTTGATTGCACGACCCTATTCGAATTCTGTTTCAGCATATACACGATTCATTTATTCATAGATAAAAGAGATCAGTAACCACATCGATAGGACCAAAGTTACTAAAGGGTTTCAGAAACGATATACAGCAGCAAAACTAAACACTGGCGTGATCTCTTGACAGCGAACACAAACAAGTAGTCAATACCTTAATAGAGGAAACAGCCACCTTACGAAAACCATTACGGCGGCGGCAACGATTCATGTTTTAAATTTCTTGAAAAAAGTGTAGAAAAATAACTCTGCGCGTATATTTGAAGCGTTGTACATTTAAAAGTTGTTTATCCATGCAAGTGCATTTCAAAGTTTACACCTTTTCAAATTGTCCAGTGAAAAACAACAACATGAAATCGCCAAAGTTTGCGTTGTTCAAGAACGGAAACCCTAACTAAACGGAAAATATTTCGATCAGACATGCTCACCTCACATTGAATGAGAGGCCTGGCGCAATTGAAGATCGTAAACAGAGCAAGCCACTGGCAAATTCTTAAGACAAAATAAAGGTTTATTTTAACATCAATTTTATCGTCAGCGTCGCCGCCCTGACTTTGTAAGGTCCTTGGTAACTGTAAACGGAAGAGTATTAAAAGAATTAGCAGTAGTGCCATGGTGCACGCTAGATAAACTCAAAAAATAGCTGTAGCTTTGACCTTTTGTGCCCTAAGAGTGATTAACATCCAATTCATGTGTGCCGGATGAGGATGGGCGAATCCCTAAGGATCTGCTGTATAGCGAGTTGGAATCCGGTTGGAGGCCTATTGGCAGACCTAAGCTGACTTTCAAGGACGTATGCAAGAGAGATATGTTCGCCACTGTCCTGCCAACAGATAACTGGGAGCTACATGCTGCAGATCGGAGGATTGGAGGTCTGTGTGCAGTCTGGCACTCCAGGGGGAAGAGGATAGGCTGAAAGCTGAAGCCGATGATAGAAGAGCTAAGAGAAGAGCAGCAATGAACAAAGCAACTTGTGTTCCAGTGGCATGTGTCTTCGTGTGCAGTGGATGCGGCCGTGTCTGCCGTTCTAGAATTGGGCTTTTTAGCCACGAGAGAAAGTGTTTGTCGCAATTGCGCTAGTCAAGGACATGGTCTGATGACTGCCTACTACTCTTCATTATATCACACCTGAATCAACCATTAAAAGGACGAGAATAAAGGAAATGATCACCGACTTAAGATGTTCTTGATTGTTAAACAAGTTCTCCTTCTCAGCACCTTGGGAAATGTATAGAGAACAGTGAGGAGAATTTGCATACTGATATCAGTATGTTAGGGGAAGCAAGGAATTTTCCGTTCTTTGCTCCAAGTTGCTTTTCTTACTTGAAATGTGACTTTCAGTTTCTTTCCGTCAGCACTGACTGAATTAGATTTGCAATATTTGATGGCGAAACGTCTCTGTTTTTGTTCTTTAAAGGAAGAAGGTAAGTTAAGTGTAAGTTTCCACCCTGCCAACAGAATTCGCTATCGACTTATAGACTATAGTCGAACCTGTGAAAGCAGTCACCCACGGGGATTTGCTGGGTGACCGCTTAACTGATACAGGTCGACCAGCAAATGACTTTTGTGATGTTTGAGCGTAAAATTTGTCCTAAGAGTCCAAAGCAGGCCGGAGTACAAAGGATAAAGATAATCCGCAATGCAATGCGGACAACTCGAAGTGCTAACATCGATTTCGGGGGACGGACATGGAATAGATTTGACTTCAGTGAGATATCATTAGTAGTTTTATCTCAGTGGTTTCACGTTACGTTACCGTTCAGACTGATCGCTGGGACTTAGTACAGTAGTGAGTGGAAAAGATTTCAGGACTCTGTCTACAGGTTGATGCTTGATGACTTGGATACAGATTCAGCTGTTGTGTATTTCCCTAGGTTTTTTGTTTTTCCATTGCAGACCACGTGATTAAGGTTCTTGAGGGATTACTTCTTTGAAAACGAGCTATATATATATATATCCTCTTTTTGAATTCTAGACTTTAAAAGAGGGACTCAGACCTCTTGAGGATTTTAAGGTACAAATTAGGTCTATTATCAGAAAATTATAACTTGAAAATTACGACGTTGCGACGCCAAAACATCATGACATGATGACGGCCATAATTCATTGTCAAACATATGGAACCCAGGCCCCACAAAATTCATTGGTGGCTACGAAGGACTGGGTGAAACCCACCGCCTCTCAGGGGAAAACAAAGATGGTGGAAGGGAGTGAGTTTTGAGAAGGAATATTCAGTTGGGAGAATGCCTTACAAAACGTTCTTATAGACACGAAATTTTCGATCTAAGCCTGAGATGAGTAGGTGGAGGATCGTAAGATTCACGAGAGATGTGACAGTAGGCGCTAGTCGCCTAGTTGGAGTCACAGTCGTTCGCTTTTTGATGTCATGTTGTACAGTTTTTGTGATTCTGTGGATTGCTGTGTTACTGTACGTCAGTTTTTACTACGCTTACATGCCAACCGTCAGTCATGTTAGGCCGGTATTCCTGCTATTTAAGTAAGTCTGTTTTCGTTCGTTGTCTTTAAGGTTGATTCTTATGTAATCGGCACGTCGAACTGTTTCGTGAACGATTACTTTTTGTGTTTCTGTTGTTGTGCGTAGCTCCAACTGCGATGATTCACGAGGGAAAACTTTGTGTTCCTTCCCTGAAGCCAATTTGTCTTTGAGCACTGGAGAACGAGTGAGTATAAATTTGAAGGCAACTTCATTTCGATGTTGCCTTGAGCAAAACTCGTGACTTGAGCACTTTTATTGTTTGGCACGGAGGTGCGAAAGTCCATTTTGCTCTCGGGCAAAGATTTTGCAATTTTCCTCTGTGTGACAGCAAAAGTGACTTTACTTTAACCAGTTTAGGCTACATTCTTGCTCTTATTACTTATATTTACCGTTTGATCCGTCATTTATAAATTTAATAGCTGAAATTTCCAAGTCGATTGTGTTCTGAGTCACACGACGTGACAGCTGTCAGCAAAGCCCCCCCCCAAAAAAAAGTTGATCGCGGCGGACAAAAGCATTCATCTTATTAACATACTGTTCATTGGTTTTTTTTTTTTTTTTTTTTTTTTTTTTGATAGATACTAATGAGAGGGCAGCGCTACCAGGTTTTTCTTGATCTTGAGATGCCACATTCTCCTGTTAATGAAAAGCTAGGTTAGCCATCAGTAAACTCCCAGTAGTGATTGTTTATAAATTCTCCTTAAAACTTCAAGATGTTTTCAAATAGAAAGGTATTAAGAATGAGAGGAACTAGCAGCTAATTTGCAGGACTAGCCCAGAAATATATGGAAGGAGAATTAAATTTTTGATCTTTGCAGTTTTAATTTATCTTTTCATTTGAAGATTTGTCCACCACACATTTCTAATAATTTAATAATTTGCTCCTTAACATTTTATTTCAGTCTTATAGGTTTAGTTCTCACTGCAGGCATCCATGCAAAATTGTATAGTCCTTGATTTTGTTCATTGCTTCAAAGCTTTCTCTGACTTCTAATGTGACACCAGTGAAACAAACACAATATTCTTGTTTCACTATAATTGCATCTTATTCACAACCATTGGTAACAGATACTGGGATTTAATTTCATCAAGTGGGTTCTTGACATAGACTCAAATCAAATATATGCTGCAAGATAATACTTTTTATACTTTACATCAGAACAAGTCATCAACATGTTTGGAGATGATTCAAAGTTGAACTAAAAGATAAGGAATTCAAATCAAAGTGACCTATCTTGACACTGACAGCAGCCAACTAGCCACAGACTTGCAGAAATTCAGTTTCTGGCTAGTGTGTTCTATTTTCAACAAACTGAAATCGTTGTAACATCTAACACTTGGCTAATAAGTTGAAAAGTTAGTGTTGAGCGCTGGTGACATCTTAAAATATCTTCGTTTTCTGGTCATTTCTTCATCCAGGCATGTTCATGGTTAGGGTAACCTTTTTATCTGAGTCTGGAAAAGTTTTGGCAAGTTCAGAGAGATCAGTAAGTACATATTTTACATATAATTTTATGTATATTTTTCACTCAAGGGCTGAATTTCTCTTGTCCTACAAATTACAGCTGTGGAGATGCTGCATTTTTTTTATTTAACAATTATTCCCCCATGAACAAGTGAATATTGCAGTAAATGGCTTGAACCTGGGGGTAACATGTGAAAGTGTAGTGTGATCGTCCAGTTGATTGTGGTCCTGAGAAGGACTGTTGTCAGTTGTAGTGACTGATGTTTCGACAACCTGTGCGGAAGTCATCATCAGAGTCAAGTGAATAGTTGTTGTCAGCAAAATGTTCTTATTTCAGTTCTTGTAAAATGATTGGTCAGTTTTGCCGAGATGTTATTGGCTGTA